ACGGACCATGTGTCAGGGGCGGAAAAATGGCCGCGGACCACGTGTCAGGGGCGGAAAAATGGCCGCGGACCACGTGTCAGGGGCGGAAAATGGCCATGGACCACGTGTCAGGGGCGGGAAAATGGCCGCGGACCGTGTCACGGGAGGGAAAATGGCTGCGTATTCTGTTCGTACCCCAAGGCGCAGTTCACAAACCAAGGTAAATGTTTGTGGCTGGAGCTGGTCGTAACCCAAAAAGTTCGTTAACAGAAGCGTTCGTAACCAGAGGTACCACTGTAGTTTGTATTAGTTTTTATTTTCCCTTTTAAAACTTGTAATGATATATCTATATCTATCTATATCTATATCCTTCTGAGTCCAAATAGAATTATAAAAATGTACAATGGGGTTTCCAACTATATTCAAGAGCCTCACAAAAAACACATCTGTTTGGTAATTATTTTTGTTAATTGACCTTTATGGACATCTGGGATTGCCACTGTCAGAGAAGATGCTGGGTGACCTGTAGTTGTGTCCTCTAAAATTTCCAGACATGCTTTGACTAATCTTCTTATAAAAAAATTAGCTGAGTTTGGATAGTGATTTTGTTTCTCTTTGACTTTTCTGGCTACAGAACATGGTTCATTTCCTTTGCAATTTTTTTCTGTAACTTGGTATACAACCTATACACAGTTTTACATAGTTTTGCTAATCATATCAGTAAGAGAAATTATGTAAACATAAAAGTAACTAAAATATGAGTGGGAAATCCCATAAAAGATCAAGGATCCTTATTTTCCAATAATACCAAATAGCTCTATATCTTGCTGTCAATCCAACTTTCTCATAATGAATTTCATTTCTACTTATTTGTTCTTCCAAAGTATAATAACAAAAACAAGTAAATATAAGTTAAGAGGCTATAGTTAAGAGGCTATAGCACATTCTCTTGGCAAATATGGAAAGCAATACATCCAGACATGTAACTCACCTAGTGACTACATTTTGACATTATAAATGCATTATAAATAATATATTAATTGGATATTCACTTCAGCAAGAGATAATGGTTTGGATTGCTTTGAATGAGTATAAATCTCTTTGATTGCACAGGGTTTAAGAATTGACAATTTTTCCTCCCATCTGATTCTTCCTCCCCCCAAAAGATTAAGAAGACTGAGAAACTACTTTGGTCTGAGGTAAGCATGGTGGGTGCAAATGGAATCAGCACAATAGGATTTTGTATTGAATCTTCAGTTTAAAACATGAGTTTTGAGACAATGGACAATTTATTCCCCTTCTTTCTAACAACTGATTAATCAACACAAATTAAAGAAAAATAAGGGAGAAATTATTGCCTAGCGGGGACATGCCGTGGTATTTCTGAATAATTTTTCCCCTGGATTTCATTTCAACTATGCTATTTTATGCACAACAGTACCAATTTAACAGTTCAAAGATAAAGGCCTGCAAATAAATAGCAACATAAGAATTCTTTTTGTGAAGGAAAAAATGAGATATGTATAAATAATTTTCTTAAATCAGGATAATTTTTAAAACATAAGACATCAAAATATGACTAAATATTTCAGTTTAGTAGAAATATTTCTATATTCCATTATAAGCTATTCTGATGAATGACATTCAACATGCAATTATGATAATTTCTGCTATTTTTATACACCAGATGTACTTAGTCTGACTGAAGTCTGTACACTTAAGTATATTTAACTGAATGCATGACTTTATTAGAGATTACATCTTACACTATGAAAAAAGCATTTTAATATTTTTGGAGACTTTTTTTTCCTTTCTAAAGTTATAATGATAAAATGGTCAGTCAGCTAGCATAGTGATAAGTCTACTGGAGCATTTTAAGCAAAAAGTGGAATGTTAAATTTAATGAGTTTTATTTCATTTTGATCCATCCTTTTATTTATAATTGACATGCAACGTACAAATTACATATAATTTTGCCATGATAAGAGACAATGCTACATAACAGAATATGTGAAAAATCTGGTATACACTGCATTCATAAATGAAATCTCATTCTAGTTCATATAATGGGTAGAATACGTTTCTCTTCACAGATCAGCATCCAAGTTAGGTTAACAGCCAAAGGTTTTTAGGACAAAACAAAAAACAAAAAAAACGTTGGGCATCATTAATACTTCTATATTAAACAGGCAGGCAATGAATCTCAATTTTAAACCAATGCTTGGAAGTTGCAGATTAAGTTAAAAAGCTGAAAATGAATCCAGATAAGATGTTGGTCCTAATGTTTTAAATGGAAGGAGGTTGCACAGAATGGCAACCTTATGTCTTAATTAAGTTAGGAGCATAAGAGTCCTTATGAGTCCCTTTTATTTCCTTGATAAAAGCAAGGACTGGCTCTTTTATTAATTTTAGCTGCCTAGAAAGGGTATGTTTTCTGAAGTGCAATGTTTATTTAGTTAATGACCATTTTTTCTCTCATCATTCTCTTCAGTGTTGGCTTAAAAAAGTAAATAAGCTTTGTCTGCATCCCTGCACTGTAAATTAAAACAAAACCCATTGCTGCTTCTTACCTCCTCAGCAGAGTGCAGCTGCTTCTACAGTTGCAAGAATTCCGAGCAGACAGATGTTGCTTCTCCTGAAGCGCCAGTGAACTCCTTTTTTGTGGCCATCAAGAGTATAGGACTCATGGCTGGCAATGTCACTTTCTTCATAACAATTTCAGTTTATTTGCCTTCTAATGGAGGGCTGTGTTTTTTTAGGTAACACAACTACAGCAGATTTTATGAGCAATTTCTGGACATGTATAACATTATGTGGTAGGGCCCTCTATCATTATTTCTAAATTAATGAAATAATGAAATGAAAATTCTTCCTATTCTATATTATTAAGACTCATCTACATATTTAACTAAAATGGTCAGGTATATAAGCCAAAATGTTCTTCGTTTGTTTTGATTAGAATGTAGGATAAAATACAACTGTGATTTAGCATAAGGCATGAACCTGTTCTCAGTTACCATTCTTTCACATTCCAAAAACATCTTCAATCAGGCAAGCTTTTGATGACACACTATCTGATTTATCGCCAAGTTGGCTTTCTTAATGTATTTTTAAACATGTATTTAATGCTTATTTTTTATTTTACATTCATTCTTGCATTTAGCTAGAGTGCCTGTCATTGCTGTAAAGGTAGAGGTGTGTGTGTGTGGGTGTGTATATGAATAAAACAATTAAAAAACATGTGCCATTATGTACAAAAATAGCACAACTCATAGTCTTTATGTTGCATACAAATGACCCCAACAAAAAAAAAAAATCTAAGATCAGTGTCTATTTTATTGTTAAAATCCTATAATGGAAGCATAGTACAATTAATATGCTAAATAACTCTTTACAATTATACAAGCTGTACAGTTGTTTCAACGGAGTATATAAATATACTCCCAGTTATTCTTTCATAAATTTGGGCAACTTCAGAAATTTACACATTCAGATAGAATAAAAACGTACTTGCTGATCTACTGATTAATTTATTCAATTCAATCTACAGTGTCTGGTGTACAGAATTATTTTGTTCCAACAGCAGAACACCTACATTGTTTAGTCTCTTTAGGAATGTATATTATATATATTTAATTGATAAGATATACAATTCAATGATGTGGAATAAAGTGCTGTAGAATTCAATGACCTTGCAATTTCACAGAAAAGCCTTCAGTTCATATACATTATAAATATCAATCTATGGGAGTTACATTTACTTCCATGGTTGCATTAGTCCACATTCTGAGGCAAAAAGTAAGCTAAAAAGTCCTTCTAGTAGTCTCTTTATTTCATTTGCATTTTAAAAGACAGATGTTTTTCTTACTCTCCTTTGTAGCGAGGAGGTCTTTTCTCTTTAAAAGCAAGAAGACCTTCAATTCTGTCTTTTGTTGGAATAGTCTACAATGAAGAAAATCTTTTTCAGTTCTTATAAGTTAGTTACATTTCCATGCAAATATCACTCAAAGGTATGGGTGAACAGAAAGATAAGAAAAAGTGTAAGTTGAGCCATGGTTACAAAATACTTGCAGCTGTTGTAAATCAATCATGCTCTTCACCATAGTCCAAGTTTTGCTGATTATCAGTGGAGGGATAAAACTGAGAGCAGTGTTTCATATTATGTTTTTCCTGAGTTGACAGTCTCTCCATGAAGAATGTACATATATAACTATTAATTCTGTCACAAGGATACAAATTATGAAGTGTTGTTGTTTCTTAAACCTGGCCTTGGAGGAAAACTAAATACTCATACAAGAACCGAATAGCAATGGGTGAATCTTTCCAGATTCAATTCCAAATAAGCTTGTCTTAATCAAGTAAACCAACCACAAATCAGTGTAAGAAAGAATTAGCAATGATGCAATCAAGAATAGAGAAAAAGCCCATCTCCCTCCCTTTATCTGGAAACATTACTGAAGATAGTGAAGAATCTGCCTATGCCCTAGAATTCTGTAGCAAAAGCATTCTGGGTATGAAAATCTTTGGAAATGTTAAGTCTTCAAAACTTCCCAGACATTCTTAGGGTGCAAGAATTGCCTTGGTACCCATAATGCTGCTGGACTGTTTCAGATCCAAATGAAAACACAACAGAATAATTGTTAGTCGATACATGTCAATGGGAAAAAGTACAGTGGTGAAAAAGATTATAAAGGTGTAACTGATTACAAATTGACCTTGTTCTTTAGAGGGTTTGAAAGTAGTTTAGAAACAGATGTTTGTACTGTGAAGTCTGCATTTCTAAATAATGCTGGCATCACATACAGAAGTAGGCTGAGGGCTTATTCTTAAATTACTGAGTAATGAGAATAGCTGTTCATTTCAACACAAGCATTTTAACACTGTAAATGTGTACATATTTATCTGGAATTAAGTCCCACTTCTAAGTAGACATATACGATTGGACAGTAAATGAATAATGTTCTCATCCAACAAGTGAGGTCCATGTATGAATATGAAATGTTCAAAGCAGATATTCATAACTCCCCATCATCAAAACTGAATTATCTACTATTTCAGTTTGATATTAGGTGATGAAATTACAATCTGCGTATTACCAATATTCAAACATGGAAGATAAGTGTGTTTGTGTATGGGGGGGGGTTGGATGGCACTGAGGAGGGATAATTTTAATTTCATACCTGAGCATAACAAGCTTCTTCGATTGCTAAACCTGTTAGTAGATCCACCTATGAACAACAAAAATGGAATGAATTGAAAACAGTGTTGTAAATAGTCTGCGTACCAGCTCAAAAATGAGTCTTACCAATAACAACAACAGTTGGGTCTATAGTTCAATAGAATCTTAGGTTCAAATTTCATAACAATGATGTATAACTGCTTGTAGTAGGGAACCTGTGGCAAGTTCCAACATCTCTCATCACTGGTTATGCTTGCTGGGACTAATGGAGTTCGAATTCAGCAATATTTGGAGAGTCACAGGTTCCCCACCATTGAGGTATAAAGATTTTGTACATAAAAGGTTTTTGTGGCGCTGATCTAATTTTATTATTGTGGTAGACCACTGACATTTTATTTCAGAGTTTTACTATGCTGAAAAAGTGTCCCAATTACACATAAAACTAGCTAATATCTTTAAATTATTTTTAGAAGAATATCAACATACTATTTCAAGAATTTATATTCTAACTACTATATGATCATTAGTAATTGATAATGTTCCCCTCCCACTTCCCTATTGTGACACACTGCGTTCCATTTTATGACTAATGCATATGTGCAACAGTAAAGTCACTGTTCTACCATTTTAAAAAATAAACTAAAATGAAGTAAGAACCATATGTATACAGGGCCACAGACTGGATATAGTGAAATGAAATACAAAAATAATATGACAATTCAAGTGATCCCTTACATTTTTCCACATTTTAACAGCAGCTCAATCTTATGCCAAATTCTAAAACAAATAAGTACATGTATCAGGAAATATTCTCCACTTACACTTAAGGGCATTTAGAGCACTCAGTTTGGGATTTCCATCTGAGGAACTATTTCGACAAAAAATTCACAAATACTTTTGCTGAGTACATTTACTGTGTGCTTATGTGCTTATTGTATTCCTTAGGAACTCTGGAATACAGAACTACCTATAAATGAGTTTATTTAAAATAAACTCTATATATTTATATAAAGCAATACATAGATCAGAAAACTGTGTCTCAAAATACATCAGAAGATAGCTTTTGGTACCCCTTATGGACTTCTTGCATAAAACAGAAAAAAATGAACTTATGATCTATGGTTTTGACAATTAGATAGGATAGCCTATAGAAAGAAGAGAATCACAATGCAACTTTAGAGAAAGAGGTAAATGTATAATTGTACTTATAACTGCTGTAAAGAAGATTAGAAGCCACTTCTTTATATTTTTTTCTTTCTTTTCTATTTTTCTACCTTTTTTTCTTGCATTTTAGCTTTCTCTTTTATTCCTTTTTCTTTTTTCTTTCTTACTCTATATTCATATTAATGTTTACTCTTGTTTTTAAAACTTTCAGTAAAATTATATTAAAAAAAAGAAGATAGCCTTTGGTCACATGGTTTGTAGAAGCAGACAAAGGACACTACTCCCTAAACATCTAACAAGTCTAAATGTACTATTTTTGTATTATAATTGTTCTGGAATATGTATCTTCAGAAAATTGGTGAGGACAGAAAACAAATACATTGTCCTTGTTCAAATAGAAGTTTGCAAGTCTGATAAAAATATATTGTGCTCAAAATACTAATTCTAAAAGAAATCATAGCTTAGGGCATAAAACCAAGCAGCCTTTCTAAACTTAAGGTGAAAATGGCAAAAAGCTGATTCACAGTGTTAATCCTTTTTAAACTGAGGACTAACCAAGATGTGAGAGGAATCTGCACATAAGAACTGCATCCTAAACTTATGAAGGGATCAGGCATATAATTCATATTGCTCTATGTGGGATAGGAGGGTAATACCCAAACTTTCCATATTCTGAACCCTTTAAAACGGATTCTCTGCTACCATATTTCTTTCTGTGAGACAATGAGGCTACAAGTATAGTTGTCAGGAAAAAGTTCTTATGGATAAGATTCAGCTTTCCAATCTTTCCTTATGCACTTGAAACAATATATCCAACTGCTATTTTATAGATTTTGATGCATATATATCAAATAATACAATTTTCACATCTACTTTGCCCCTTAAAGGAAAAATATTAAATAAAAAGATTAAATAGCATGCACAAATAGGTTTTCTTACTTCCATTCCTTGATTAATGGCCAATTTTGCAACTCTCATTGCTACTGGTCCCTAAAATTAAAAAGAAATGTAAGTTTCAATACAGAAAATAAGATCTGTGATTTTAAAAAGGATTCAAAAATCAACCTCTCATTTTGTCCTCTCAGAACTCAATTGTATTATTATTTGAATTTAAAAAGACAGATTGCTTGTTAGATGATGGGGCGGGGTGGGGGGGGTGGGAGATGCATATAGACCATAACAGCATTTGAGGGTAAGAATTAAGACCCACATCTGGAAACTCATTTTGACAAGCTGACTTCAGTAAACAATGCTGAATCGAACACTTCTATTATGCTGAATAGGCCTTTTACTCAAGGACTTAAAAAATATTTCATAATAGAATGAATGCTGCATGAGAAAATTAGAACTAATGGTTAAAGTGCTGGATTAAAAATCAGATTATGAGTTCTAGTGCTTCCACAGGCACAGAAGCTGACTGGGTGGTTTTGAGCCAGTTACTCTCTCTTAGAGCAATCACCTCACAGGATCGTTGTTGTGGGGAAAATAGGAGGAAGGAGCATTATGTATGCCTCCATGAGTTATACAAAATAAAAGTGTGATATAAATCTATAAAATAAATGCATGCATATACAACAGGCATATTTAGCACTTTCATCTATTTATACATCTACTTGTATTTCTATATGCATTATAATACTTTCTTTTTCATAAGAAATGCTAAATAATTTGGTACATTAAAAAAGGAAGAAACTGCAATTTTTGTAGGTATTTGCAGAATGTAAAATACTGTAATTTGTTGGACAGTTTTGTGGCATCCCTATATGTATGAGAGCTGTACTCTTGAAAAGAGAATTTGACATTTGGAAAGTAAATACCCAATAGGGCACCAGGATGAGAAAGACTTATCTCTAAACCTATAGACACACACACATACACATACACACAGATGCACATGCATACATAAACATATATATACATACACATACAAATGTACATATGCTGCTAGATGAAGGTGAGGATACATTTTCATGGCCACCTGATATACCCAGGAGGAAAGCTGCCAATGCTTTTATGGAGTGAATGTGAATTAGAGAGCATAGCTGTAGCAAAGCTTTATGGCCCCCTTATCAGTGTGGAGAATGATGGGCCTTGAAAAACCAAGAATAAACTTCAGTCCCAGTGAAATGGCATTGCACTGGCCAAATAAAAAATGACAAACATCAAAAGAATGAAGCAATGTTTCCAATGGAGTTCAGGGGCTGGGAAAAATTGTAAGATTGAGACTATTTTGAAGGAAAAAATATCTGGATAAAGGACTATCTTTTTCTATGGAAAATAAGGGAGGCCCTCCTTGTAATACATACAATTCTCTATCTCAATGATCTGATGTCACAGTCATCAGAAAGTTGATAAATCAGGGCTATAGCCATGAGTTCAAAGAGTTTCAACATTAAGATAGAGAAAACAAAAGAAAGGCTGTAGACCAGAAGTGGCAGGGAATCAGAGAATAAAGAATTGCTAGGGCTTTCATGAAATGCTTCACTTGTGGGTTAAGAAAAAGAGCACTGTTCAGCAATGGAAAAAAGGAAGAGATGGCTACAAGATATACTTTACTGAAGAGTGAGCCAAATTCTGCTATTTTATATGCAAGACAATGAGCAAAATATGGTGGTTCCAATACTGCAGAGGATTCAGTTGCTGCTTCTGCATTTCCATTTAGCTCTGTAGAAAGCTTCTGAGAAGCCAACAAAGCCAGTTCTATCTTGTTTGGGAAAGTGTTGAATCCAAGCTGTAAGAATAGTTGATTGATTATGTGCCAACAAACTATAAGGCACAAGGAATTAAGATCTGGATGGAAGACTTGTCCCTGATATATGGAGGGAAGGTCAGTTTGGTTCATAAAACCAATGTACTCTTAACAGATGAAACAGAGTGATAGGACAAACTGTAGCTCCTGAGGTCATTGTTTGATGACAATGAAATTGATACAATCTCTGTTGATCTTTGTTAGGACTCTGATCAGCAGGGCAGTGAGCAGAAACATGTATAACAAGGAACCATTCTGAGAATAAAGGAATATATCACAAACATTAGGGGTCTAGCCCATCTTTGTGGCAAAAAATCTAGGCACTGCTGTGTTCCTATTATGCCGACAAAGTGACCTTGGGGTTGCCCCAGTGGGATTTGATGAGATCAACACTGATGGATGTACTTTCCACTCATTGATGGCCATTCTGGAGAAAACTGTAGAATCTTCCAGTGCAGCTCAAAAGTTTGGCCACAGAAGCAGCCTTGGATTCCAAACTACAAGAAACTTAAATTCATTAACATGTCTCAACACTCTGCAGCTGGACCAACCAGAATTGTCAGAAGTGCACTCTCCTTATGAACATAGATGCATTAGTGCAAGTGATGTGTGTTGGGGAAGAAAAAACAAGCACTGTCTAAAGTCCTTGGAATGGTCAGAAGTGCCTTCATAGTTTCAGTACCTCCAAATTAGAGATATTGGGGGACCAAGGTAATGATCTGAAGGAAATGCTAAACAGACCAAGAGGCATCAGAGGAAAAACCATCAGGTTTTGAGACATCAGCATGAGCTCCACTGGAGGGGATGACTCTACAGAGTAGAGGATCACTAATTGGCACCATGAAAAACTTTGATCCCTGGAAGACCAATGATCTGATCTAGAACAGTAAGACAGTATGGAACCTACAGAAATTGGAGAGATGCATCCTTTAAAAGAAGAATGAATATGAGATAACTTGAGTGAGCTCAAGAGCTCCAAGAGGAAGATCTCAGTTTTGACTATTCTAATAGATAAGGAAGGTAGTCAAAAAGAGATCCTATGCCTGAAAATGAACCAATGAGGCCTGGACAATACAAATCAGTATTCTTCAATGGTGGATCCAGCAGTAGCTGAACTGGAGAAGACCATTGTGAAGATGAACTCTAGGCTACTGGACATGGAATCTGGAACGCAACAGAAATGTTCTCTCCACTTTTTTTTTTGTCATTTTGGAAATGAATGGGACAGACTGCTAAGATGGCTTTGAACCTTTAATGGGCAATGAACTCAGGGATAATAATGGTGGTGAGAATCCTAGGCAGGAGTGAAGAATTCAAATGTTCTCTCACAGAATAAGAAGCTGCCAGATAACCTTTGGGACATGGTATGAGGCTTGAAGGAAGCTGAAGAGGCTACAACCACTTCAGGGCCTGCTGCCCTTAAAGCTTGTTCCCAGAGAGAAGTATGCAAACAAGAATGATTGTGATGAACTTGTTTAGAAAATACCTAGCAGGGCATGCAAATATCTAACCCACATGATTTTAACCAAGATACAGATTAAACCCTTTAGGGCCATAAAGCTGAAGACTGGATGCCTGTAATTGAAGAACTAATTATCCCAATTAACAACTCAAGGAATTCTGAGGAAGATTAAAGAAAAGGAAAAGAAAAAAGGAAAAGGAAAAATATTTAGACAAAGCAGAAGGATAATCAGTCCAAGGATGAACATGCTAATGCTGCAGCAATTGAAAACCAACTGAAAGGGTTTCGGTGAGAGCCACTTCTAATTGTGTGGTTCATATGGGGACAGGAGGCTCACAAAAAATTCTGAATGCTTTGGAAGATTCGGAACAGGGCTCTGCACAGACACATAACTCACATCAGAATCACAGACCACAATGAAGAATAACAGTTCCACTTTGTATATTTCAGTTTTCACCCCCATTTATGACTGCAGTTAATATGAGTAGATTGAAAGACTCAATTTGAAAATAAAATTCTTCTACACTCTTATGCAGCCATACTAAAGTGTTATCAAGATATGTCACTCAAGATACTCCTCTTCAGATATAGTAGCTGCATCAAAATGGAGTGAACTACATTTCATCATTTAATTTTTCTCAAGACTTTAATCTCCAGTGAGTGGCAGACAACAATTCAGAAATCACTGCTAGTGAGAATCATGGCATTAGTATTTTACATTTAGAATAATTTAAAACATATTAGTAGAAGTATGTTGTTTAAAAACTATATACGATCAGTGAAACATTTAGAATAGGTAATATGTAGTATGTATACCTCTATGTACTTATATCAGTATGGAATTTCATGGAATATACACTATTGGTTCTCTAGACTTATGGTCTTGGGGGACTTCAACCTGCCTTCTCTGGGGGTGGGATCTGAGGTAGATCAGCAGTTCATGGCCACCATGACAGCCATGGGCCTATCCCAGGTCATCCAGGGCCTGACATGGGACAATGGTCACACCCTGAATCTGGTTTTCTTGTTGGAGCAGTGGCAACGTGATCTGGAATTAGGGAAGCTTTTAGTGTCTCCCATCATGGTCAGATCATGCACTGTTAACCATGATATTCTCTGGCACTATCCCCTGCTGCAGGGAGGCGGAACTTATTAGGTCAGTCTGCCCCCAGTGACTGATGGACCTGGATGGGTTCCACAGGGAGCTGGGGGTTATTCTGAAAGGTCTGCTGCAGGGTCTGATTGAAGACTTGGCCGTCGCTTGGAATGAAAGAACGGCTTTGGCCTTGGATCAGATTGTGCCCATGCAACCTCTCCTCTCTCATGGATCCCATCACTCCCCGTGGTTGAAAGAGATTAAACGGGAGAAGAGATATCTAGAGTGCTGCTGGAGGTTGGCGAGGAACAAACTCAGTCAAACATGCGTGTGAGAGCCACTATTAAGGTCTACTTTGTGTGGTAAGAGCGGTGAAGTGACAATACTTCTCCACTTGTATTGCATCCACAAATAGCCATCTGGCAGCCTTGTTTAAGGTGACACGATCCCTCCTGGGGAAGGAGGACTTGGAGGTGCACCTATAAGGCCGGGCGGGGGAATTTGCAGAGCATCTGTTGGGCAAAATTGCTCAAATTCATTCCAAGTTGCACGCCAGCTTTGATACGTGTCTGAGAAAGATGTCTTGCCTGGTTATCTGGGAATGGTTTGATCCTGTAGAGCCTGAAGAAGTGGACAGGGTCCTTATGACTGTGAGCTCAGCCACCTGCTCCTTAGATCCATGCCCCTCCTGGATAGTTAAGGCTGTTAGGGGGTGTTGTGTAGTTAGATCCTAGTGGTAGTGAATTTTTCTGCTGTAGCCCCTGCCTGGAACATTATTTCCCCTGAGGTGAGGTTAGTCCCATCTCTGTTAGCCTTCAGGAAAGCCTTGAAAATGTGATTCTTGCACTAATCCTGGGGATCTCATGGCAAGCCTGCAAAATGATTGTATGAGGTTAAATGATGGTTGTTCTCCCACTGTCTTGAGGTTGTTTTATGTTTTTATTCTTTCATGTTTTTATTTTTTATTTTTGTTATTTATATCTGATGTTTTTTATATTGTGATAGTTTTAATTGTTATTCTGTTTGTAAGCTGCCCAGAGTCACTCTTTATGAGATGGGTGGCTGTATAAATTTGCTAAATAAATAAATAAATAAATAAATAAATAAATAAATTTGATGCATGGTGAAGAGTTCTAAAATGAAAAGGAATGAAAAGCTATTTCAACTGACAATTAAGATATTATTTTTAAAAGAAACTACCTAACAGCCCTTTTTACTGCCATGAAACATTTTCTCTCATTTTGCTTGCATTTTATTTAGAACAATCCATGAATTTCAAAACTCATCTCAATTTCTTTTTACCCTAAGTTCACTTGTTTTCCCGCAAGATATATGAATTGTTCTGCCATAAAGTTCAACATGGTTTCTTTCAACTTTCAGCTATTTCTTTATTCATAATATCCAGCAAAAATCATATTTGATATTGCATAATAGTACAATAGCATTATTAAACACTACTAAACAGGAAGGATATTTTAAAAAGTTATTTCTGAAAAATACTTTCTGGAATTAGTATTTGCTGGACTGAATCATCAGCTCAACTACATGTGTCAAATGGACTGAAGTTAGCAGAAAGATCCAAGTTCACATCTTCACAAACCAATTGAACATACTGGCTGGTGGCTCTGTTAATTTAACTGCACAAAACAAAAACAGTACTCATCCCTTGCCCCATATTTAAAAAAACACTGAAACTAGAACATAAAAAAGATTGCACGCAAAAACCTACAAACTTACACCTTTCATGAAAATACACTGATTGTCTAATAATTCTAGCAACTTTTAAGAAATCATAATAGACAGAACTGGAAGATACAGATATTCAATTTAATTGACCCTTTAACATATCCAGCATTAGTGTTAATTAATATTAATATGGAAATGTATTAGTGCGATGATACAATGGTAAGTGAATATTATCATCTGATATCTGATATAAAGGTCCCTGCAGAAGGTAACAAAATAGATTGTGATCATATACCAGATAGTTCATCCTAAGGAATTTTAAAATGTACTCTGTAAAGCTGCTTGAGAGGCTGAAGATGCAGACCTCTGACAAGGACAATGCCAGACCTACTGTACTTGAGAACAGGATAGAAAATGTTCTTTTATCCATTCTTTGCTAAACATGTGTTAAAGTTACACATCATGGTTCTTTTTCACTAAATATTCAGATCAATAAAAATCACAACAATACTTTATCACTATGTCTAGATAGTAATCAAATAAACCAACATTATAGTGTTTATAGAAGGCGTGATCTATTATATAAAGCTATGTACCTAAACACATTTATAAGTATACACTTCCCATCAGTTAATGGAATCTGTATTTAGAATTTGGGCTATAAAGTGCCTCTTCAATACTTTTTGTTGATTAACTGAACTTCAAGATTTTAATTTAGGTTGGGAAGCTAAATTAGGAAGTCTAAAAAAAAAGAATTTTTAAAATTTCCAGAGTAAGATGCGTTTTTCTAATAACAGCCTCAGAAAGAAAAGGATGGGTACTAAGCAAAAATACCAGTTAAAGGGCTGAAGCTTAAATAATAACAAAACCCTCCAATGTTTATCATTAATTCAATAGTTTAAGATTTGTAACAAAATCCTAGATGGATGAATAATATGCCTATAATGACAACCAAGGGAAGAAAATATTATAAATGATAAATATAAGATTTGGTTGTTTAATAATGGCGAGCTTCCAATACAGTTCATGGCAATAATTTGTTTTAGCTTTCCCAGTTCTTATCTTGTCATATCTTGTCATCTGTTGCAACAAAATGGTAGAATAAAGAATGCCATCCATTTAGATTGTACCTGAGGTAAAAATTCCCTTGCCAGGGCTAAAGCTCTTCTATAGGCAGCATCCCCTGCTTCATTCTGTTCAACCACATGACTGATCAAGCCTATTGATTTAGCTTCTTCACCGTCAACTACCCGAGCAGAAAATATTAATTCTTTTGCCAGAGACACACCAATTGTACGAGGTAGTCTTTGTGTCCCACCTGTAGTTTGGGAAATGTAAGAGAAAACACAAATGTTGATGCTATGGAGTACCATCATGTTTAGTATATCAAGCTTTAAAAGTGTGACTGATTAATAAACTTAAGAGTGATTTTGCCACAAACCCATAAGCAGGGTAATAATTCAAGTACTGTAAGAAAATGCCTATGTATCTAAAGCAGAACATAATATACATAATTCAGAGCTCTTTTCTTTCTCAAGGACAAGCACACATATCCAATTTTAACAAGTCATCTCCACTCAGCAACCAACTTCCCAGCACAGAAAATAGATTAAACCTATTTATAAAAATGCATCTCTTTCTCTCATCAATAATTAAAGAAATCATAGAAGCTGCTATTTGACCCAATAAAGGAAATAACTTTGGTTTTCATTAACCAACAGATCAGTACACTATATCATCTAGACATTAGCTACAGTCAAACAAACTCTACATTGCTGATGGATGTTCAGCAATGACAACATGTAAGAAGAGTGTACTTTTTACCAACCACAGAGAAAAGAATATTCAATCTTTAATGTAACTACTTAGAATAGATAAACTATAAAAAGATACAGTGGGAGTAAACTTTCTAAAAAAAACCAATAAACAGAAATACTGTACTTAATTAAAATATGCTTAAAGGAACTGTAAACTGTATATCTACTTTACAGATATGTGAACAATACATGTGTAAATACTGTACTTCTAATGACAGCAATATAAATAATGCCAACTTGTACTAATGATTAATCCACAATCACATGGACTTTTAATCATCAGTCAGAACAATAGTCACAAATGAAAATATATAATTATTCAATCAAAGGGCAAATGAAAATATATAACTATTCAATCAAAAAATGTAACATTTTAAATAGTTTTTAACAGTACCTATACTAAATGGATCATTCCCTGGTAATGGTAAAGACAGTATCCACTACTATCTATTACATGGCATAGAGCCTGGTTACTTAAGGGACCGCCTATCTTGCATAGCTTCTCCCTAACCAATGTGATCCTGCAGGTTGGCGTGCTCTGGATTCCTTCGATTAAACAATGTCATCTATCAAGACCCTGGAAGTGTGCCTTCTCTGTAGCAGTGCCTGCCCTCTGGAATGAGGTTCCCCCCAAGATCCGGATGGTGGTGAGGCGTATTCACACTATCTGGAAAATAAAGTTGCTCAGATTCACTCATAGTTGAACTCTGACTGAGCAAATCCAAATGAGTTTCCCAGGGCACAGTCTTGTGAGGTTATCTGGACTGAGTTTGATTCTGTGATGCCTGAGGAAGTGGACAAGGTCTTTCTGTATGTTAGGTCAGCCACATTTGTTAGATTTTGGACTCTCCTGGGTTGTTAATGTTACCCAATGGTGACCAAGGGATGGGTCCACTCTATCCCCTAGGGTTCCAAAAAGCACTTAAGACCTGGCTTTGATCTCAGGCCTGGGGTTGATGTGTTTGTGGGTTTGATTGTTTTAGTCTGGGCCCCATGTAGGGTTGTATGCTTTTAACTGTTTTTACTGATTTGTACTTTTAAGAGAATCTGAGATTCTCCCACTGAGAATCTATGGGAGTGGGTAGCCTATAATAAATTTAAATAAGTAAATTAATATTACTATTGGCATATTTGGGGTAGTATACAACAAGCATAACCAAAACCCAGTTTTACCCTAAGGATGCTAATACTATTCTGTGCAAGCTTAGATGTACAGTCTTACAGACCTTATAAACCAACATTTTCTTGTCTGCATCCCATCAACTGGGAGCCATATATAGGGCACTGATATACAGGATGTACTGAATATGAGAACTTTTATGTACTTCTAATGATTTAGATAAGGCATATGATAAAGTTGCAGGCTTGAATTATGGAATGTCTTGCTTGAATATGGTGTTGAAGGATGGCTGCTCATTGTGTTAAGAGCAGTATATTATAGAGGTAAAACATCTGTAAAAATAAATGGAATACTTAGGAAATGGTTTCAATATTGATCAGGGGATAAGACAAGGATGTGAGATGTCCTTGTTTAATATATTCATGTATAATTGTATGAGAGCCAGTTTGGTGTAGTGATTAAGGCACCAGGCTAGAAACTGAGAGATTGTGAGTTCTAGTCCCACCTTAGGCACAAAGCCAGCTGAGTGACTCTGGGCTGGTCACTCCCTCTCAGTCCTACAAAGAAGACAATGGCAAATCAGTTCTGAAAATCTTGCCAAGAAAACTTCTTCGTTGCCTGCAATCACCAGCAGTCAACACTGACTTGACATCAACAAGAAATATCATAATTTACTGGAATACATGCTTATGTCAGCAAGAATAAATTCTGCCCAACACTGAAAGAAAGGTATAATTCCAACAATATCTGATTGGGAACTTAAACTTGGAGAATATGCAGCAGTGGCAAAATTAACAGTATATATTCACAACAGAAGTTTAACTAAATGTAAGCAAGAACGGTTACAATATATCACACAGCATGGCAAATATAAACATTTAAAGTTTGGCTTCTAAGGGAGCCTAAATGTTTATAAATATCGTAAATTAGCAGAAGCACAAAAAGGGGGAAATTAGAAACCAAACAGCCTTTTTTTTCTTTTTGTTTTTAGTTGTTGTTGCCTATTTTGCTTTGTCTATTTCTCTTTTTTTCTCAATATGCACCAACAATACATAATAGTACAGTGGAGACCTTAGTATTAAGTAATCTGCTTAATACTATGTTTATTGTTTATTGTACAACAAATATTTTGATATAATGTGCAGCTGCTTCTTAATGTTATAATCAGCTTTGGATGTAAAAGCTAAATAATCTTATGCTTATTAACATTTTAAATAATAGTTAATACTGATATAATACCTTCTCTTTTTTTCCACCTTTAATGGTCCAACTTATCTAAACATTACAGTGTTAATAATCTCTAGTCAATACTGTATAAATACCATGGCACTGAAATAATATACTGTATTACGTATGACTCGAAAGGACCAAAAAAGAAAAAAAACTGTCTAAGAAATCCTTGTGATGACATTTAGAGTTTGTTGGTTGGGTACATGAAACTATGTATGTATGCAGATGATGCCATATTGCTGGCTTAGAACCCAAATAATTCAGAGTGAATATTAGACAGACTGTATGATTCAACAAGGAGTATGGATTTGATAAGGAAAATGGAATGATTTCAAGCTATACAAAAATGACAATAAATAGAGCAAGTAGACAAATTTGAGTACTCTGTAAAAAGGGAGAATGAATGGAAACATTTTAAGATGTTGGAGTTTTGGTAGAAAAGTAGGGGATGATATGCAGTCTTTTGCAAGGAATGAACGTTTGTTGAAAGAAAAGAAAATCAGTGTACATAAAACTGAGCTTCTGCCCATTTTGTTAAATGGAAGTGAGAAATGGACATGTCAAGGAACATAAAGTGCATTTAAAGAGTTGTGCATGGTAGAACAAAAAGAGAGAGGTTCAAGGATAAATTGGTGATAAGTGATTGCAGATTGAAAGTGAGTGACCAGAACAGATTAAATATGTTGGTCATATTGAGAGAACAAATGAAGATTTCAAATAAATATTTAAAGGAAGAATGAATCAGTTGAAAGGAAGGAAAAGACTGAGAAAGTCATGGTTGGATGGAGTTGATGAGATCTTGAAAAAGAGGAGAGAAACTTAAAGAACAAAAGGCAGTGTATGCATTGATGTGTGGACATGGTAGAAGCGATAATTTGTAAAGACAAAAAGATCAGGAGAGATAAACTGAACTAGGGGGGTATAAAAGTTTTAATTATGTTTTCTTTTTCTTATGTCATCCTCTGATTTCTTTGGTTTCCTATTTCTTACTGTTTCTCTGGTCTGTAAGATGGTGCATATTCATATGCTGAAAAAGGATCTTTCTATTCTACCATGAAAGGTGAAATGATCAAGGGTACCTAAATTCAAGATGGCAAATGTGCAATATTTTGAAAATAAATAAAGAGGCCTTGTGAGGCCTTGTGAGGGGCTAGCAGTTGCCTCAGCCGGGCGTACCTTGTCAGCCATGGGAAGAAGAATGCAAAGATCAGCTGGAACGGGGGCAGCAGGGGTAGGCGGCAGCAGTGGAGTGTAGGGTGGCCAAAAGGACAGAAATGGGGGGCAGATATGTGGGGGGAGTTGAAGCAGAGGTGAGCATGGCAAGGCAGCAGAGCCTTGTCTGTCGAAGGGAACTCGCTGGGCCCTGCTGGGGAGAAGGCAGGGGGATGGAGGTGGTGATCTGCGCAGCACAGAAGTTAGGTCCTCACCTAACGATGGCGCAGTCCTCGTCTAAAGACTGCAACTGGGACTACCAGAACTGCCACTGCTAAGCGGTGTAATACATGATGTTTCGCCTAATGACTGCTTCACTTAGCAGCAGAAATTCCAGTCCTAAATAGGGTCATTAAGTGAGGACTACCTGTAATTTATGTATGCATGTATGTAAATATATTCTACAGACAGAGAGCTACACTTAACTGCTAGAAAATATTTTAGTTAAAAGAAAAGAAGCCTCATTCTGATCAAAAATCAAAATACAATGGTAAGGAAATAAAGAAAAAAAACTAATTAGAAAGACATTAAATTTAAAGTAATAAAGGTTAGAATTCTAATAATAATGATTTATATATTTCTGAGTAGATATGCACAAAATTATGCTATTAGCCTTAAGAAAAAAAATTAAAACACATGGAAAAATATATTTTATTAAAGCTAGCATTCTACTCTTGTCAGTTCTTAGAAAATATTTGATTCCTTCATATATTATTTTGACATATTAGATTTTTTTTTAATGAAAAATTACTACTATTACTATTCTATCACTAGTTTATGTTACCATCTAAATGGCTTGATATTACTTACTGGAAATTAAATCAAATGTTAGTACAGATTAGACTCTTTCAAAAATAATCGGAAATAATGGCACAACTGTTAAATTATATTCATTTATCAATAATTACTTGGTCAGTCTCAACTCAAAATATTAGGAGC